AAAAAGAAAAAGTAATTTTATCGGAATACAAGAGTTTTTTTTTTTCGAAATCCGAATAAAAAGGGTACAGTACAAGTTGTATTCGAATACAACGTGTAGGACCTGMACCGTTTCAATTTCGAAAAAGGACTGCGGCCTCCTCGGCCTCCTACTCGCAGCTACCGGTCCTACGCGGTCCTGGCCCTTGCAAGGCCCCAAAACCAAAAAATGACCACCCTCCTGACGACCTCGACGTTGAAATTTGACGTTGAACGTTAAATGTCTCAGGGGGGGAAACCGCATCCCTGACGGGCTGCGAACAGGCAGGGTCTTGCTTAGCATTAAAAGGGTCAGGCCACACTGGTATGATGTTCATAATATGATCAACAGCACAGACCTGCCCAGTATACGACACGTTCCTGCTTATCACGCAATACTGATCACGACAAAACTGACCTTTCAAAACAGTGAGGCAGAGGAGTATTGCTGTTGAACTGACATGTCCCTGGAGGTCACCCCATTACTCACCAAATGTGTCAAAATGAGAATGAAATTCCCCCTATAACATGGGGAGATGCATTGCCATATATTTTGTCTTTAGTGCATGTGTTGAGTAACAGGCCACATGTCTAAGGGCTTAGATCCAAGAGGTATAGGCGGGCAATGGGTCCTCCTTGCAAGGCTTAGAGGAAATTTGGATAGGTTGTGGGATGTAGAAGAGAAGGTGCCAGGATTATTGAGACCATCCTTTTAGAGTGGCACAATCTTCTGAACACAACTTGCATGAATCCACCTTGCACGTGGTATACATTATTGGAAGAAGGCACTGTTGGGAACGGATATAAAAAAAAAAAACAGCGATGGATCCCAAACTCAACCCACCGCTGCAATCTTGTCTAGCCAGAGTTGGAGGAGGAAGGGGACTATAAGACTCTAGGTCAACTGTCTCAAATCAGAGTGAGAGAAAAGTGTCAGGAAACTCACAAACATAGTCAGACAGCATATGACTCACAGAATAGGCACATAATAGGCAGTCCATGTGTATGAACATGCTACCACAAGATTGTGCACTGTACAGGGACGCTGGAGCCGGTTTCCAGCAGGTGCAACTCCTCACAAATAGACGGAGCTTTCAACATGGGAACCCACTTATGGTGGATGCTCTTATCACCCCGATAAGTGGGCTTCCCCATTATGAAGATCCCGGGGGCTCCCCATTAAGAAGGATTAAGTTAGACCAAGCAATGTGGCATTGGCAAGGTTCAAAATTGTGCCTTACAGAGTATTTACCTCTCGCATAGGCTATCATGAACTTCAAACCGTCACAACGCCTCTGATGTTTGCTACACACCGCTGGTCGCATGTGATGGATCAAG